TCTACTGTTTGATCCCCTTCCTTGTATGTACTTACTATTATCTCTATATATGCTAGGGTTGGGTATTGCAGAGAATTTTCATATTGCGATATATTGCAATGCAAAAGCATATATTGTGATATGTATTGCAATATATTGCAAGAAGTTTTTCTTCAACAAAAAACTACGTATAATCGAGTTAATGCTTGATTTATAAAGCAAAAACACAACAAAATCACTATGTTTGATTAAGATTTAATAAAAACTTTTAACCATGACAAAAAACAAATGTAAATAATATTTGGCACAAATAAAAAAAGGAAAGGAACAACTTAAACAACGGAAATATCCGAAGATTTCCGAGTGTTACAAAGTTTTCCGAATGCATGTCAAAATACCGGTTTTCGATCAGCGTATCGCAATACGTATCGTTTTCATGTCTGAACCGGTAAATACTGGTAAACTGGTTATATTGCGCAGCACTAATATATGCATAAAGTAAAGTGACTGTACTGTCAGATTTCTGGTGTATGGAAACGGTTAAGGACAACAATTTAAGAGAGTTTTGTTTTATGACACATTATCCCTTGAATTCCCTGTTGGGAGACACCAGAAATGGGCATCACACATTGTACACATGTTGGTACTTTAAACTAGACCTTTTGTTTATAGAGGGAAGGTTTTCATAACAAGAGAACCAAAGCAACCCATACGATTAACAGGTGCTGCAAAGTGAATTATGTCATTTGGTGTTGTAGCTTCCAAAGCATAGTGCTTTTCAGAGGTGAATCAAGAAATTGGTTGATTTTATTTCAAATTTGTTGCGATTATAAGCCTTGATCTCGCTGTCTTACCTCAGTGATGTTATTAAATTTATCTTTTTGTGTCAGACAATATTTATAGAATAAGTGAGCATTCATCATGGATGAATTTATCAGGACCTTCCAAAATTCTCAGAGTGAACAGCCATTATTCATTGGTGGCAGAGTGGAGAAAGGTGTTGAGAGATCTCAGTGTAACAAACCCATATTCAAGGAACATGTCGACAACACATATACATTGACGTTTAATCTTAGAAATGTCTCTTTTAAAAAATATAAATCAATAAAACAGAACCTAAAATCCAAATAGATCCCAGAAGAATGGTTAATTTCCTGACTTGAACATTTTTTATAGACTTGAGTTAGATTCATACTGAAAATATTCGCAAGGTTCTGGCAGACAGACTGCCACATCGACACTGAACAGATTACTCCTGGTTTACCAGTAGGCTTTGTCCAAAATGTTGATTCCACTGTCTGTCTGAGACTGTGTTGACTCTGTAAAGCAATACTGCCGCTGGTGCCATTATATACCACTAAGTATTGAGTAATAGGATTAGGTTCTGTGGGCCAATAAACATGGACAGTGGATTTGGTATAGGAGAGTGTTTGGCTTCAGTATCAAGAGAGGAAGGTAGACCACCTGAGTTGCCTGAACCCAGGAGGGTATTTGAGGAGGAGGTTCATGGGAGAGGAGAAGTTGTTTTTGTAAGGTGGGGTATCTGTGTGTGTTTCTATAGCTATTTAAATGTCACCTTTCTACATCTATAGGTAATGTATTATTGTAATCTTGGTCAACAAAATCAGATCTTTGTTCTGATGTGATACCTCGCTAAATTAATAACTGAAGGTGTCTTCCTGGGCTGCTTGTGTTCCTGAGTCAATCATTTTTCGGCATTTTAAAACATTTTTCCTCTATTTTTTCACTTCATCACACTTGGGAATTTTTTATTTGTACAAATAGAAACTTACACAGAACACAAATATCCCTTTAATTGCAGGTGTACATGTCATCATGCTCAGTGATGGGATGTGTGAAATATTTGGACCAATCAAATTTTGTGCAATAATCTAATGAAGTGCATTGAAGACCAGTGAAATATGGTTTTGGAAAATGGATGTTGGCGTACATTGTGCAACTAGGTGCATTGTAGACCTGTTTCACTTTTAGAAGGTATTGAGTGATTAGTGCATAGAACATCATTCAAAGTGGTTTCAATGTTGCATTATTTGCACTTAATATGACAAGAATCTATGGTTGTAGTACAACATTAAAGACTCTCGCCCCCAGTGGTGATGCAGGGTGATGACGGAATAGGTTCTGATCAACTCATGCTGCTCACTAGAGGTTAACCATGTTGATCTGCTGGTGAGGTGTCACATGATACTGTGCCATCATACTTTGTTCACAGTATCATTCACTGGATTGTCTGGTCCAAAATGTGTGCAGGCCCCCTATCATATAACAGTAATACTGCTGATTGTGGCAGAGAAAGCATCAAACACCCAACCCATTCAACCTTGTAAATTTGGCTCTGGAATTAAATGTTATGATAGATGATTTTATAAGTGCATTTACAGGAGTACTTTTCTTATATTAGCATGGACATAGTAACAAGGATGTGTAAGTATAAAGATTTATAAATTCTACTATCCAGTAAGAGTTTTGGCAGCAACTGACCTTGATGAGGTATATTTATAGGAGGCAAACAAGTACGTATTTGTTTGCATTCAGACAAATAATAAAATAAAGGCAATGAAGACAAAATGTACAGACCAAGTGAAAACAACTTATATTATCATTAACAGGTGCTTGGTATAACTATGCCATGATAAAACAGACCACCATGCAGCCAGCATGGATGAGAAGGTTATAAATGTTGAACTTGGTGCAAAATTCAATAATAAAAAGTCTTACCAAAAATTCTTCTTAAACTGCTAGTTTGATGGCGTGTGTGAGATGTTATCCCACTTTGTGTATGGTTTCTTAACTAGAATTACCAACTCAGGCCACTTGCGAGCAGGGGATATCAGTTGGTTTGATACTTGCCACTAAATATGCCCCAATATTTCCAGCCAGGTTGGGCAGTAAACAAGTTCCTAATCATTAAGGGTTGAAGAGGTAGGTTCATTACCTCACCATCTGTCAAGCAGCAAGAACGAGTGTTTTGATAGTGGAGATAGAGAGGAGAGAAAGGGGATGTGATTACTCTAATATAGGAGTGGGCTGTAGCACCAACTAGATGCATTCTCTGCCCCTTTGTGGAGCACTTGTTAAAGGCGCTGATCCAACTTTTTCATGCCACAAATGTTTTCGTTCTTGAGAATTTCTCGCTCAGGTGAGAAAATAAATTAACTGATTACAGAAGATTTTTGGAACATTTACAAGTATTTCAAATGCAAGTTGGTCTGAAACTTTGTGATCAAGTAATCAAATTTTTTTTTTTTAAATAATTGTGTGTTGTTGTTTTTCTATTTTGTAACAATTGTTATTGAAAGGGTTGTATGATAGAGGGTTCACATTAAGTTACCAGTGATGTTTATTCTTAAAGTTCCTGAAGTTGAAATTGATCTGTGAAAGAAGGCTAATGCTTTATGTTGAAACAAATTCTACTTTATGTTTTTCTGACCAAGAGAGAAAAAACCGAAGATTGAGCAAATGGCTATGGAAATTACTGATGTGAGCAGTACATTTTTTGCAAGTCTAAGATGGTCTATTGTCTGTTCTTATCTGGAAAACAGCCACACATAATGATAGTCATTGTATTGTCTTGAATTCAAGATGGCCTACTTGATTCTGACAGCAGTATGTTTTTGTTACTGGAATCGAAGACTTCTCACAGCCTGAGCAGCATGTTTTTGTTTAGCTTGTTTGGAATCGCAACGTTTGGTCTTTTTTCTGACCCAAAGGTCGACAATTTGATCATTTTGGGGTGTTGTTGCATGTGGTCCCAGATGCCAAAAGTGCCTGTAAGAAGAAAGCGGCCATCTTTAAGCTGTGTCAATACCTATGTAGGTTATGCTTTTGATGGTGGGGAGACTTCTTCTTGCACTCCAAGACCACCATGGCTACCTGTAGGGTAGAAGAGGAATCGTGGCAAATTAAATGCTTATGTTTCCTGTATTCTTAATTTTTCTTGGCCTTCTTTAACATAAAAGGGGCACGAGGTTTTGAAGTTAGCCTGGACGACCTCCTGAACAGCAGGTTGTGAATGTTTAGGGTTCAGTGTTTTAGGACTGTGTTTGAAAGTGAAAGGATGGAGGCCTCCCTGCTGCTGTAATCGCTTCATAAATATTCTTCAAAGGCAGCTAATTCTGTGTTTAAGAATATGATGTGAGAGAATATTGTGTTATGGACATTGTGGTAATGCAATAACGGGAAAAGGTAGTCAGTGACTTCATGGGATTGCTTTGAGGAAATACCAAACACAGCAAATGGCATTTAGAAATATTTGTCCATACTTTTTCCTCAACACCTGCCAATGTATTCTTCAGACATGCTGGGAATATGTTAATGAATTATACATCGTTGTCAAATGGAGATCAAGGTGTCAATCTCTGGGAGGTGTATCAGGAATGATATTGGTGTTCAAAATATCATAGGATTATTCTTTTGGCATGTTGGTTTATCGCCTGGTTTATATACGTTTCAAACTGATCAAAAAAGTATAACATTGAAATTAAAATTGGATGTTTTTGAAGAAATATGAAAAATAAAATAATAATGTGTCAGATATATTGAACTGCTTTGATGTTGTTATTACTGGAATAATTTCACCAATGCCATGGGAAGAAAAAAACACTGTACTGAAAATTGAAATTTAAAATTTGAACACTTAGAGCTGATCTCACTTTAACTGTGGGAATGCTTCAAAACAGAAAAATTGTGTTCCAGTATTCGGATTACTCCAAGAGTTCCTTGTTCTATTATTGTCTTTCTTGGTGCATCATGGGAAGTGACACTTGTTGCCAGCTGAAATGAACATGGTTTTCTGGGCTTGGCTCAGCAGTGTTGACAGCTATATACGAAACGTGTAGTTGTTAATTTCAATGGGATAGATGTTAATCAGCTGATGCTCTTAAACAATGTGAAAAACACTCAGTGCTTTACAACTGCATTGCTCTTTGGAAATCTTCATGCTTGACATATTTATTTATATATTTGGTTGTATATTTATGTTTTTTCCTTGTTCATTACAGGCCCATGTGGTGGCAGCCTTTGAGCAAAGTCTGTCTAACATGACATCGCGTCTCCAGATGTTAACTTCAACGGCTGAACAAAAGGTGAGATGGTTGCAGTAACTGTGCATTTCAAGAATACTTTAAAAATGAACTGATTCCAGAAATTAGACCAGGATGCCTTTACCTTTGCTTATCTTGTGTCTGTAATTGTATGCATATTTTTTAAATTAATTTTAAAGGGAGATTTGTTTTCTGAAAAATGGCTGGCATGCCTTTACTTCCTGATTTTGTGATTGTGAATAAATGTTGTATGTAGGTTTAATTGAAAGGATGATGTGTTCTAGACATTAGTCATGGGGATGCTTTTACTTTCTTGATTGTGTTACAGTACTTAAATGATGTAGTTAGGATATGTTTTAAAGAGTATATTTTAAGAACTTTGGCTGGGGGTGCTTTTTACTTTGTTTTACAGTAAAAGAATGTTGTGCTTGGGTTAAAGTTGAAGGATGTTGTGTTTCAAGAACTTAGAAGAACACTTTAGGCCATTATTGTTTATATATTTTGTACTATAGGCCTGTGGCCTCTTCAGTAATGGAATAAAGAGATTTGATTTGAAGAACACTTTATAATTACTAAACTACTTCCTTTAACCATTTTATGATCAATTAGGAACAATATCTATCACAGCATGCATGTTTGGATTAGTTTACACGGAAACACCTTCATCAGATTTGAATTATAAAAGAGGAAACATCAGCAAGTCACTTCCACAAACACCTTTGTGGAAGTATGGATACTTTCAAATACTTGAGAGAGATTTGGTAATGAAACGATGCTGTTTAAAAGTTATAAAAGTAAAGTTAAGTTCAAAGATATATGTTAGTGTTCACTTATAGTACATGTTCTTCACATTTCATGATGTATATGTCTTGAAACAAATTGTATACCATTATGTGAGATTATAAGTCTTGATAAGTACATCTGTTCAGTTTCTGAATAAATTTCAAAGTTAATTTTCAAATTGCTTTCATCTTAAAACAGTAATGAAAAGGAGTTGCAATTGATTAGGAAATTCAACTTATCATTGTAACATTAAGGTATATTTTGTATATAGAGAGGAAAACCCTTGTGAATTCAGAATCAATTAATGCTGATTTGGGACAAAAAATGTTTCCTGGAAAGAACAAAGCCCTTTGAACAATCCAATAAGGTCATTTGGTGAAGTAAAACAGGTAAACAAAACACTTGCCAGGCAACTATTTAGAGAGCTGGGTGATTTATTTTTTGTAGAAGAACTGAAATAAAACTTGATCTAGGCATTGGAATTTGGAAGTGTTAAAAAAAACAGGACTCCAAGTGAACTGTTTAGGTTCCAGGGAAACATATCAAACATGACTTGGATGGGTTTCTACAGGGAAGGCAGACATTGTTCAGGAATTGATCACCTCATCATTCTTATTTATAAAACTTTTTTCGTATTGTAGTAAAACATTTCATGCAACTGATACTTTTCAACTGCTAATGTGTATTTTTCAATGTCAAGAATGTTTTTCAACAGTGTACTTTATTTTAGGTTTGTTTGAAAGGTTAGAGAGTTAAAAAGAGAAAGAATTTGAGGAAATAGTGTCCTTTTAAAAAGTAGATAAAAAAGTTGTTCGTGTTAGAATTTTATATCAGTTGCTATGTAATGGATTCTATCTGCCTTCATATTAGTAATGGAATTTGAAAAATGCTTCAAAAAACCAGAATTTTAAATTATTCATGAAATTTTACAACCAGGTGGTGCGGCCTTCTCAGGAAAATATTCAGGTAATTTAAAAAAATATTCTAATGATATTTTTCAATACATTTTAATTACCAACGTACCTTTTTTAAAATACATTTTACTTTCATTTTGTAAAATAATGCATCATTTTTGTAAACTTCAGCATGAGATTTCTGTTGAAACTTGAAAACTGATACCAAACTTTTCAAAGTTTGTTGTTGAATCTTGATGGACAGTGATTAGTATAAATTGCTGTGTTAATTATCTAAATGATTGATGTTGATGGTGCAAATGTTTGCCAAATACAACATGTCAAACATTTTTGAATGTTGATGTTTGACAGAAATGATATGAGTCAGCAAATTCCATTTAATGGTGACTGATAGAGCCCAACTCTTCCTATGTTTCTTTGCATATGCCTGCAATGCTTGTATTTGTTGTCATGTGCTTCAGATCATATACAAATCTGTGGGGCATGGAAATAGACATCCTATGTTGGGTAACTGTAATTCACATGAGACTTGTTACATCGCATTCCATATGACTGGTGCAGATTTTGTGTACCTAAGCATTCATCTCTTGACGAACCACCCAACAGAAAATATCGTTGGCAGATCATACTGTTTGACCTTTTTATTAAAGAGAATAGGTTAAACAGAATTGACGAGATCGTCTATTGCATCCACATGGTTGTGTTATTTCAGCAGTTGGAGAAACTCACCATGGAGTAGCCAATTTCATCCTGTAGAACAAAGTAGAGATTTCATAATGCACATCAAAATGATACTTGAGGGATTTTCTAACGATCAGCAGATCATCGATGCTGCTTTTTACCTGGAATGCCAAATGTTTTTGGAAAATGTAATCCCAGAACTGAAAGAACCATCCAAAAAACAGATGGTCCTACGTGCTTTTGATAAAGAAAATAGTCTGTTTGATGTATAAAAATTATCTCCAGTCTACACTGCCTTGACTAGGGCATTTTGTTTATTGACGTGGGTTAAAAAAGAACATATTGATGCATTATTTTTGGCAAGAAAGCCATCTTGGAGAGTTGGATAGACTGGGACGGCCCCTTGCCTGTGGGTATGGCACAACAAAACAGACTGTATAATGTTAAAAAAAGTGTTTAAATGTGTTAGGGATGATGGGTTTACTGCTTGTAAAAATATTTACATAAGGATTGTTGGTACTTTGCATTTCTTTAATGATCCTTGCTTATTTTCAAGTGACAAATATTTGCATTGATATTGCAAATTGTTGGTTGTGTTTTATAACTTAGTTTGACCTTTAAATATAAAGTGGTAGAAGGTTTACTACATACAGCTACATTCATTTGTCAGGTCGCTACAACAAACAACCAGATTAATGAATTGTTTGGAGGTGTCACACACTTGTAGTAAAACACATAGTTCAAAACATTTTTAATGAAATAACAACAGAGAGTTCAATGCATTTCAGTGCAAATGGGGCTTAAGTCAGACATCAGTGAATCACATTGTAAATGTCAAAAACTTCAGTAACAGAAATTTTCTAAGAAATATTGTGCCAAAAGAAATTTACGTTTCAAAAAGTCTGATAAACTTGGAAAAAATCCAGAAATATGTGTAGTTTCTAAAACTTTAAACTGAAGATTATTATGATAGGGAAAGAAAGATACACAGTGAGGAGTTATTATTATCATCATCATCATGGACAAGTGATTATTTTTGCACTCCTTATGTTACTGTAAGTCTTAGTACAAAGCATATTACTTACCAATAATTACATGATCTCAGATACACAGGAGATACTATGTGTGGAAAACTTCTATTTCTAATAGTAATTCATCAAACAAATTGTTTATGTTACCAAACCAGGCTATTACAGAGTTTCATTGAAGTAAACACTTTTTCACAAAATCTAATTTCTTGAAGATCCTCATCCTTGCAAAAAGTATTGAGTCCCACTGCACAAACAATTTTGTCTCATCCTATAAATTTATAGATGATGTATACATTTTGAGATATTTTGGATTTGACAGGGGTATTGAAATAGTAGATTGCAGGCTTGAAAAAGAGATGTTTGCGCGATTGGTAAACCATGAGAGGCTGTAGGCAATTTATGTTTGTATCAGAGACATAAAAATTCCAGTTTGGAAGTTGTGAAACTGAATCCTTGTGTTTCTTCATTGGAGATAAGACATAGTGCTGAATGGATAAATTTAGAAAAGTGGTGATTTTATCTGATGTTATGAAATACTGCTACCATGACTCACAACACAACATGTTTGCTAATCAACACTCGTCAGAAATCAAAAGAACCAAAGGGAGATAAATCTGACTTGGGTGATAACTGGCAGCCATATTTGAAATTAAAGAATCATGTGATGAGAGTTTCTTGATATTTTCACAGATGTAACCTGCAAAAGCTTTTAAATGTAGTAGCAGGGTGTGGTGTTGTTCTACAGATACCATTATCTGTGTTCGAATGTCATAAAAAACTTTCATGCAAGCTGAGGCACCAGAAGCAGTATTACAGTTCCGAGGTTGAATCCATGCATGCAGATATATTCACATTTGTAAAAAGTATTGACTTTTTAAAAGTATAATCAATGGTAATGGGATGATATTTATTGTTCTTTCAGGATTCTGAGTTGAACGAGTTGCGACAGACAATTGAGGCCCTGAAACGTCAGAGTGGACTCAGTATTCAGGAAAGCCTTGTCAGTCCAAATGTTGGGCGACGACACACCTCACCTGGTATGGGCCCTAAAGACATTCATGGTAGGGATAGGTAGTGTTTAGGTACTGTAGCTCACTGTGGAGATTATGTTTGAGTTACCTTGTTAACCTGTGTTATGGAGCATCTCTACATGTTGTTGAGGTAGCTCAGCGGATAGTGTGCTTGCTCAAATCTTCTACTCCTACATGAGTATAATGTGTGAAACCAGTTTTGATTATTTTCCCATAATGCCATCAAACCCAAATTCTGGAAGCAGTATGTGCATGGTTTGTGATTTTGAATGGTAGCCAAGAGGGATATTTTGAAATAAAATATTCATTAAAATAAAGACAAGATGGTAATATTTACTGTAAACTAATTTATCAGAAGTTTCCTGTGTCTTCAAAGAGATTGGTTTGTTTCTGTAGTAAAGGAAATTATAACCGTTGTCAGCAACCAAACAAATAATCTGTTTTATTAATCAGATTTCTGGGTGGTATATTTAACATAGAACATCTGTGTAATATGTTTCATTCCTAATTTTGTGATCATCTTTAATTGTACCCCATACCAGTTTAGTTTGTGTGATTAACCATACTAAGCAAACCTGCACTGTGTCTAGTTTTACCTTATGTGAGTCTGAAGAGGATTGGATTACCACACTTTGGATGTAACAAATTGTAAACAGAACTGATTTTGAAAGCTGATGAATTACGAGTTAAACATGCACATTTCAAACCTAAACTTCCACATATGGCCCCCTAGTGAAAACATCTGGCTCATCGTTAACACTCCACCTTGTGTGGTATTTCTGGAATTAACAAAATTTCCTTTTTGCTTAAGTGCATGTGGAAATTTGCTGCCTAGATATTTAGTCATCAGGTAAATATTATCACCTATTACTGTCAGTACTGCAGTAAATCTTGGTTAAGATACTACTTGTGGCACAACTTGTCTGGAATAAAGCCAATAATCATATCAGCTTGATCAGAATTTTTGCAGCTGAGATGATATTTTCTTTCTTGAAATAGAAAACTGAAGGAGAAATGTATCTCTTTAGATGATAAATGGTAGGCTAATAAGATTATACCAACAAATAACGTCTGAGCTTTTGCAAGCAATAAGAAACTGGGTGAAGCCAGGATAACGGAGGGTCACCAGATGATATATGTCTGGGGAAATAGTTAATGTCACTGATATGATGATTTTGTATGCATGCTAAACGAAATTATTTGCACAGATTAATAAATAATAAAATTAATTTACTGAACTGAGGATTTTAATTGAACCAGAGTAAAAGCATTTTGACTGTTAGCAGCATTACCATATCATTAATATGTACAAAATGTTATAATGTGAAGGTAAAGACAGAAAAAACTAATGTTAATTCTGACATGTCTTTTTCGGCTAAGAAGTTCATTTAGTGAGTGTTTTCAAACTGATGCATGAGAATAAATTATATGAATCCATATGCTTTTAGAAAAGTGTGATGTTTTAAGTTGTGGTCATGTAAAAAGCTTCAAAAGCATTTAGTGTGAACAATTTCTTTGCAGGTGAAGGGGGTCGTATTGTTCGTCAAATGTCTTCAGACAGCATGTCTAGCATCAATAGTTTATCAAGTGCTTGCAGTGTCGCCAGTCAACAGTCTGCCGCCACTGATGGTGACATTGGCAAAAACTCCAAGAAAAATAAAAAGAAGGGATGGGTGAGTGATCTTTTATTTATTGTTTATTTTCAGACTTCTGACACTGGACATTTAACTCTGGATTCTTTTGTAGTGAAATTAGTGAAACAGGTGATCTGCTCACATTTGTTTCCAGAAGGATGAGATCCACAGCAGCTATATCTGAAGGACTAGACCTGGACTGTTTTATGTGAAGGATATCTTATTAAGTGATAGAATATTGATTTAAATGAGATTTGTGGACTAAAGTTGTACTTTTTCTAGCAGTATAAGTGTATTTTGAATTTACACTTTATTAATCAAACTTTTTCAGGATATAGGTTATGAAAAGGACTCACAATATGTATTTTCTTTGAAGAAAGTTTGATGTTAGTGGAGATCTTTTATGATTATGGATTTTGTTGCTGGAACTTTTTATTTATTGTACAGATCAAATACATAGTTTCTTTATAGTAATTAAAAGGTCATATTGAACTGACTTTGCCTATTCTAAGCAACGCATTACATCAATGGAGTTAGCATTCAGTACAGCCTTGGAGCAAGGCTAATTGGACAGGGAAATATACGGTACATTTACAAAATCTCAACAATGATATCTTTATTTCTACACTTTGCGAGCTAGTTATGCATTGTTGTGTAACCATGCATAAAAAAGTATAAACACAACAGTTCTATCTGTGTTACCTTCAGCAACAACACTGATATTTGAGATTAAACACATCATGACTCACTACAGTGCTGCTGCCCTTCAGTTTATACTACTTTCCTGAAACACATTGTGTCTACACTGTACTGTTTACTGTCTTTTTTAGAACAATTAGTTGCTAGGTTTTATTGGCAATATTTTTCAAAAGGCTATAGTTGCTTTTCCAGATGTGTACTAAAGGTGTAAATAATGGGGATGTCATGGTTAAATACACCCAGTGCTTCATCAGATTTACAGTAATTATTTCTGAATCTTGCTCCCCGCTGTGGGGTCAGCAGGTGTAATTAATTATATGCTCTATGACACTGCAATATACTGCAAAATCAGTTAGAATGGGATGGTTGTTTCTTGCAGGCTTCTTACCTATAATACCCAGCTTACTACTGATGTCATGCTCAGATGAAAATGTCAGTCATCTCGAGGTTGTGTTTTTGTTTGTGTAATTGCTGTTTGTTTATGTTTTTGAGACGATTTAATATATATTTTGCATTGCATCAAAGCTGTGATATTTTTATTATTACTTCCTGATCATGTAATATATTGTATGATCCATGGTGTCAATATCATGTCTATTTCACACCATAGCTCATCCATATCTGCTTAGGTAATTAGTTTCATAACCCTGAAAGACTCTGAAATAATAATTTTGTGATGGTTTTTTTTTGTTCTCTGGATTAGTTACATCTCATGAAGTATAAATCCAGACATTTACCCTTGCATCTATTGACTTTGAAATCAGATCTTGAAATTGAATTTTTTTCTGGAATGTTAATTTCAAAGCCCAGGCACTGACCCCATAGACAGGTGTGGGAAAATGTGGATTACATTTCAGTAAAAACTGGTTTTAGGTATAAAACATCTGAGTTGATGGATGTTAGATACTGCCATCTTTTTGTCACTTTTCGACTCGTCAGTGCAGGCTGTTACAGACTTCAGCTGTTCTTTCATCGTTGCCCTAGAACACATCAATGTGCCGGTATACATGTCGTCCATGGTGTACATTGCAGCTGAAATGGATGACATTTATGCTGCGCGATAATCCTCGTAACTGAGGATTCACACATGCTTTGCATTCTGAAGTGTAACTGGATTCCTTCCTGACATGGTAATGGCTTTGTGTCGATCATTTACTGCCGTGATTCCTATGGAATGTCCTCAAAAACGTTTCATTTTAATCAGCCTCTTGTAGCTTCATCCTGAATTGCCAAATTACCAAGTTTATGTTTATATTTATAACTGATATCTGCAGATTCCAATTCCGAGGAATACTCTATGAATTTCCAGCATGGTGAAAACTGAATGTTAATTCTGACATGTCTTTTTCAGCTAAGAAGTTCATTTAGTAAGGCATTCTCCCGGAAGAAGAACAAGCATGGCTCTATATCTGATGTGGAGCCTGATACTGCAAGTCTTCGCTCCAACGCTTCTGCACCAAATTCTCCACTCCTACAGATGACGCATGTTCCTAATGGTTCTGGAGTCATGAAGGGGTCTCACAGCTCTGGGGCGTAAGTACATGTTTATCTATCTTCTGATAATGTTTCTTTTCAGATCATTTCAAGATATTTTTGATTTAAGATACATGTGTGGGTATTCATATGAATGCTTATCAAAAGTTCTTTTATTTCATGAATATTAATTATAACATTAAAAAAAATTTTTTTCATAATTTTGGAAACTTTTATCTCTCTTAGATATTCTTTCGGAGAAATCAAAGATTTAAAACAAAAGGATAGCTGTTTTTCTAATTTTGAATACATTATTTATCCCAGATATACTTTTTTCAAAAATTGTGAGTTGTACAGATCACTTTAAGATTTATATGACGGTGAAATTAATTCACAGAAATTCTATTTTCATAGGCATGTTTGTTGTATGCATATATTTACTACATGACAATGTATCATTTTCAGACTGTGTGAAACAGAAGACCATGCGTCTGTGAATGAATTAAAGAATCTGTTACGTGAAAAAGACATGAAATTGACTGACATCCGACTAGAAGCCCTCTCTTCAGCACATCAGCTGGAACAACTCAGAGAGACAATGAACAAAATGAAGGTATGCATAAGAAAATAATGTAAAATTCTTTCGGATTTGACATACCATATTTTTTTCGCGATTTTCCATAGGGCCAGACTAATTTTATTTCTTGTTTTACGGATCTGCCAGTCATATTTCTTCAAGAATATTTAAAGCAAAAAAATATAAATTCAATTTCCCACTCAAAAAATATAATCCTAATGTTTTACTGGCCAAAAATGTAAACTTACAAGAAATGTTTATTTATTTTATTTTTTTTGCCCCTTATACACTTCATAACTTGCCCAAAGTAAAGTATTTTTAATATTTAAAAGAAATGTTACTATTACTGTTAATTGTTTTTATTTTCCGTATTGCCTTTAGGTTTTCTGATGACAAAAATCCTTAAAACAAGAAACATAATTGGTCTGGCCTAGTAAAGATTTATTTCTTGTCTGTTGTCTTTGTTTACATTGTGGCATGTATGATCTCATAGCTGCCCATCCTTGACTGCTGTGTGTGCACCGAACTGCAGCAATCATTTTCTATATCCTGTAATTAGCCATTAGTGAACAAAACTAATAAGTACATTCCCTTTTTACCCATCTGACCTCATTAAGATATTATGGTGAAGTCACTCATATCAAACTCAGTTTTAAACAATGATACTCATTAATCTTGTCCCTGTAGACTGTGGGTGAAGTATGAATCCTTTGTTTCAACAAGTTCATCTTCTAATTGATTTGATTATCTTCATATATACTCCATCTGAAAGGGTTTTATGAAAATGTGTGTATGAAATATGAGTGCTAGACATTTGTTCTATTAGGTTAATGCAAACATTTATATTACAGAGTGAAATGGGACATTTGAAAGCTGACAACGACCGACTTCAGCGCCTAGCTACCTCGTCCCGAACACTCAATATCTCCCAGAGCTCCCTTGCTCATACGCGTGCAAGTAACGACTCTCTGGACCGGTCTCTCAGCCTCACTGATCAGAGTAGTCTAGGTAATGTCTAGCTCAAACACTCCCCCTGGTGGGGATGCTGAGGCACTGTTAGTCCCCCGTGATCCTTGTGTGTAGTAAGAGTCTATAACAGAGTTAAGATATGTGACACACTTGATTGTGTGTCATTATAGCCCTGTATGGATCCATGGTCATGCTGCCATTCCCCAGTGATCTGTGTGTGTAGTATGAGTCTACATCAGAGTTAAGATATGTGACACACTTGATTGTGTGTCATTATAGCCCTGTATGGATCCATAGTAATGCTATCAATATTTTGATTACTTTGCTATTATGTTCAGGCTAAAGTGATATTAGCTGGAATATATCTGAACATTCCTGAAAACACTCTATGATTTATGCTGATGTAGATATCATTGTTTTAGAAGAAACATCTTGACGATAATATTAAAAAAGTAAAAAAAATACCTTACACCTTGAGTGTTTATTAATAATGTGTTAGGGTTGCTTTTAGATATCTTCATTGTCAGTTTTAATTCTATGAAGAGAAAAAGGCTATGTTGTGCAATTAATTCAAATGAAATTGCTGATTCTTATATGATACCTCTCAATGTGTAGATGTAAGGACCTTTTCTTAAATGCAGCGCTCACGTGAACTTTGACCTCTGGAGGTGACCTCAGATCTTCATGCAAGGAGGTATCATGACAGAGTAAAAGATCTCCTTTTGATGGGTTGCAGTAACCCTGAAATGATTTACCGGTAGTGTGTCAGTGATTGGAAATGTTGTTCATCATTTTAATGTCTTTGCTTTGTAGACATGCTATTGGCTGAAACAGCAGCAAATGACAGAGAAGGAAAACGTGTCACAATCACTGTATATCTGGGCTCAAACCCAGACCCAACACGGATTGGCATTGAGGTAAAGAACAGATCTAGTGTCCTTATTCTAGCTGTGTTTGTCTACAGAAAGATTCACATATCAGAAAACACTCATCTAAACATGTTCAGTGCATCAGATAAGGAGTTTATTCATCAAACAGACAATCCATGTATGGAGTGTAAAAATAATTTCTGAATGATCATTTGCATATTTATTGGCTAGTGATACCAAGTTTATCAGATAAGTTTATGGCATCAGTAACACTATCCAGTATTTGATAACCCCAATAGTTTATTGCCTTAAAGTGGAGACTTTCACCTTTCCTTTTCAATTGATGCTCCATCGTTTCATTATTTTCAAATAAAATGTAATCATTAATTTCTTCCTCTCCGTGTTACAGAGACCAGCGGAGGTGCTGATTGGCTCCCTGTCTGTCAGTGGCAAGACAAAGTGGGACATCCTCGATAACATTGTCAGGAAAATATTTAAGGTAAGAGACATTGATGAATGTCCAACTTTCATTACAACTGGCTCTGACCAGTGTGTCATTTCATAATACTTACAAAAACAGCAATGTATATAAGTTAATAATATCTTTTTCACAATATGGATTATGTCAATAGAAGTTCGTTAGCATAAAAATAAGGCCAAATTTATTAATTATTAATTTCTTTGTTCTCTGCACTACTTGTCATTAAAAAAATGGAATCATTAAACAAACCCACCATCTTTGGTGGTAAACATATGGTTTTAGTGATCTAATGCTAAATGTTTAGCATCATTGAATGTAATGTATGTTATGTTTATAGGAATACGTGTTACGAGTGGACCCTGTCACCAACCTAGGTCTGAGTGCGGAGAGCGTCTTCTCCTATCATATCGTCGACATCACAAGGACCAAAGGTGTGTATTGACAGTAAAACAAACACAACAAACATGGTGAATATAACATGAGTGGCTTTTTGTTTGAAACAACAGGATTTAGAAAATTGTGTATGTCTTTCATTTTCTTTACATTTCGCTTTCGTTCAAGGAGTTTGGAGGTTATTAGCCCAAGAGTCTGGGTTTGATTCCCATGATGGTTGTGATATAATGATATGATATACTACAGTCATTGAATCAATCATGGCTACTATGAGCCACATTCCAATGAGCTAGAGCGTGAATGTGGTTTTATCTGGCTTTTGGCAATATTCTAGCAATGTCAGCAGAGGACAGCAGAAATGGCCTTCACACAGTGTACCCATGTGGGGAATGGAACCCGGCCATCGGTGTAACAAATACTCTTACCGCTGGGCCACCCCACTTCTACAAGTCACATGATGATCGGCCATGTTATGTTTCAACAATGTGTATTGTGTCCACAGATGCTGATCTACCTGAGCTGCTACCTGTGGGGTACCTGGTCGGGGATACAATGCAGATCAGCATATGTCTTAAAGGTAAGGACGGTAGCAGCAACATGAGAATAACATGCCCTTCAGTAGAAGTATAGTTGAGTAAATAGTAGAAGTATAGAAACAGGTTGAGGTGGAACATTGGCAACTAAAGTTCAGTTTTAGTCATCAGCTACATTTTAGGTGATGTCACATAAAAGGAACACTGAAAAAAAACAAAAACAAACAACTTATTCAATATATTTTGTATTTTGACTGAGAACAATTTACCTGCACATGATTCACTAGATGATTTCAGTGGGAATTGTGGGACTCTGATGGTTTGGTAGAGTTCGAAACTTGAGGAAATGTGGTAAAACTGAAACATTGTAATATTTCATGGTAAAAGACAACTTACTTGCGAGATATTCTAACTGGCACAACAATGTAAATGTTGGTATATCTTCAGGTACAAAGCTAGATATTCTAACTGGCACAACAATCTAAATGTTGGTATATCTTTAGGTACAAAGCTAGATATTCTAACTGGCACAACAACGTAAATGTTGGTATATCTCCAGGTACAAAGCTAGATATTCTAACTGGCACAACAATCTAAATGTTGGTATATCTTCAGGTACAAAGCTAGATATTCTAACTGGCACAACAATGTAAAAGTTTGTATATCTTCAGGTACAAAGCTAGATATTCTAACTGGCACAACAATGTAAATGTTGGTATATCTTCAGGTACCAAGCAGATCAGTGTGGACTCTCTTGCCTTTGAGTCGATGATCCCCAAGACGATCATCCAGCGATATGTGTCCCTCCTCATTGAACATCGCAGGATAATCCTGTGTGGCCCCAGTGGCACAGGGCAAAACCTACCTGGCTCAGAAACTGGCTGAGCATTTGGTTCTCAGGTGAGTTTGTGTTGCATTAATGTGAAGGTTGCAAACAAAATGGTGGAACATGGTCAAGGGGAGATAATTTGATGGAAGGTACTATCATGCCATCAGTTCTGATTGGTCGCAAACATTGATAAGGATCATGTTTTTGGGGAGGCATGTAACTCAATACCATTCTGTTGTGGGCACTTCTAAAATGTAAAATATGAAACATACAGACAAATGTTAAAGTATGGAACATACAGAACAGACATTAATAAAAGGCAAAAGTAAATTATAATATCGTATGAGTTGTACTTACATGTATTCTTCCAATCTAGATCTGGCCGGGAACTGACAGCTGGGTCAGTGGCCACATTCAATGTTGACCACAAGTCTTCGAAGGACCTTCGCCAGTACTTGTCAAATATCGCGGAGCAGTGTGAGAACACAAACGTGAATGAATTGCCGACTGTCATCATCCTAGACAACCTGCACCATGTTGGCTCCCTCGGCGAGGTCTTCAATGGCTTCCTCAGTGTCAAGTACCAGAAATGGTAAGTTCAGCTACACACCACATACCTATTGATACCCCGTGATGATCCAGGGGCCTGTTTCACAAAGCGATCGTAGCGTTACGACTGTCGTAAGACTGTGTTAAAGTATGGGAGTTAAGATCTCCTTAGCGCTACGATCGCTTTTTGAAATAGGGTCCAGGTCTTCAGCATCCCATGCTTGTAAGATTAACAGACTCAGGTGGTCAGGCTTTCTGATTTGGTCAAATGCAAGATCGATGCTTATGATCTCAGTCACGGCATTCTCCGGTACAGATCTAGACTTATTATGAACTTGAAACATTTACCAGTAGGAGGCTTTCTGTAACTAAAATTCTGCCACTCTGATAGTACCCGGTACTTTCATTAAGTCATCCTTCCTGGTACCCATTATACAACAAGGTAGAGTGTTGAATAAAGCACCGTGACATAAGTGTACATGTGTACATAAGTGTATCAGAACCAAACCTAGGTTCATGAATGAGATGGAATACCAAGCTGCATACATACAGGTAGCCAATATATAGCTGTGATAATGTAACTGACATATTTGGAAAACATCACTTGAAATTTTATTCAGAGTGATCATACTTTGGAATTCACAGATTGTCTAATGTTTCTGAAGTAAGTTTTGTTAACTTTGTCCAAGATTGTATTGGATGCTTGAGAATTCTCTGAATTATAGTCAGATATAATTCCTACAATTTGTCACTTTTAGCCCCTACATTATTGGGACGATGAACCAGGCAACAAACGCTGCCACAAACCTCCAGCTACACCACAACTTCAGGTCAGTATCCTAGCAACACCTGTGCATGCTGGTTACCATGGTTATTGCACCTACTCAGCATTGTCTTTATATTAATTTATTGAACTGAGAAGACACAAAGTTATTGTGTTGATAGTCACCCAACTGATATCAGATGTTTTTCATTGTTCTATTACTCACTAGATGAAAAACTGGTGATATTTATACAGTGAAAAACTAACACATATTGGGTCATTGTGAAAAAGATTTAAGACACGGACACCATACATGTTTTAGTATTTTGAAGTGCTGCATCGTACTGAAGTATGTTTGGGGGAATTAAAACTCAATAAGTGCAAATTATCTTTTGAGTGACCCTTTTGTTATGGCTAGCCAGTGCTATTATCCATCAGACAAGTAATCATGAACTAGTATAATGTATACCTTACAACTTATTACATATAAAATCAAAGTACCTCTCTGTCAGGTGGGTATTGTGTGCCAACCACATGGAGCCAGTGAAGGGCTTCCTAGGGCGATACCTGCGCCGCAAGCTGGTGGAGGCTGAGGTCAGGACAGGGATGAGGAACAATGACCTCAACAAGATCATTGACTGGGTCCCCAAAGTGTGGGCCCACATCAACAAATTCCTGGAGACACACAGCTCCTCGGATGTCACAATTGGTGAGTGCCTGGTGTATGCTACGGCTGCAGGGGAGATAACTGGGGATGGCATGTAGAAGAGATCACATAGTGCAAGCATTAACCCATGAGGACTGGGTAATTGCACATTGGGAGTGTGACCTGACTTTCCGTGTGTCATTATACCTTGATAAAACCTGCATGAGACACATTTAGTTAAGGGCTGCCGAGAAATAGCTATGATAATTAGATCTGTGACATAAAGCATGATTCACTCACTGTTGATGAGAGTGGTCTCATGGGCCAGGAATTCTAGCTTCTACAGGTCATGGGTTTGTTCTAGGTTTCACTGACATTGGAATCATCTGTGACCTGTGTGGGTTGGGCCTGCCCTGTAAACTCATTATGTAAATGAAAATAACTCTCCAGACTATTTTAAAGTAATCAAGGAAAGTCAAGCGATGAAGGGGCAAGATGTAGTTGAGTATGTGCTGTGTGTATAAATAAAGGTGTTACCTGTAATATATCTTGTCATAATTATATCTTGAGCTTTGACAGTTTCTGATATCTCACGAGGAGTTCGATGTTTAATGTGGGGTGGTCATCAAGTCTGACTGTATCCGTGTGTTCCAGGTCCAAGACTGTTCCTGTCCTGTCCGATGGACATCTCTGGATCCCAGGTGTGGTTCACGGATCTGTGGAACTACTCGTTAGTACCGTACATGTTGGAGGCTGTCCGGGAGGGACTTCAGGTATACATCCATAACAATCAACCAGTAGATCACAAGTTCAACACGATGACATTTGCTTTTTGGGTTCATCAATTCATTTAGAAAATGATCAAAATGCATCATCAAAGAATTTATGTTATCGAATTCTGATTTGCTTTTTCCAGGTGTATGGGAAGAGGGCTCCATGGGAGGATCCAACAGATTGGGTGATAGAGTCCTACCCTTGGAGCGGCGGCAGTAACAACGATAAGGACAAGTCGTTGCTACGGATACGGCCAGAAGATGTTGGATATGATTCCCAGACAGCACAGGTCTCTGTAAGTGGGAACAAGTCAAAGACGAAGACAGTCGGCAACACATCAGAGGGGAACCCGGGAGACCCACTGGTAGGTAGCTTCATCAGTGACTTGTACATTACAGTGGGGGTGGTGGGGTAGTCTAGTGGTTAAAGTGTTCGCTCATCACACCGAAGACCCGGGAGACCCACTGGTAGGTAGCTTCATCAGTGACTTCTACATTACAGTGGGGTGGGGTGGGGTAGTCTAGTGGTTAAAGTGTTCGCTCATCACACCGAAGACCCGGGAGACCCACTGGTAGGTAGCTTCATCAGTGACTTGTACATTACAGTGGGGGTGGTGGGGTAGTCTAGTGGTTAAAGTGTTCGCTCGTCACACCGAAGACCCGGGAGACCCACAGGTAGGTAGCTTCATCAGTGACTTGTACATTACAGTGGGGGTGGTGGGGTAGTCTAGTGGTTAAAGTGTTAGCTCGTCACACCGAAGACCCGGGAGACCCACTGGTAGGTAGCTTCATCAGTGACTTGTACATTACAGTGGGGGTGGTGGGGTAGTCTAGTGGTTAAAGTGTTCGCTGGCGTCACACGAAGACCGGAGACCCACTGGTAGGTAGCTTCATCAGTGACTTGTACATTACAGTGGGGGTGGTGGGGTAGTCTAGTGGTTAAAGTGTTCGCTCGTCACACCGAAGACCCGGGAGACCCACTGGTAGGTAGCTTCATCAGTGACTTGTACATTACAGTGGGGGTGGTGGGGTGGTCTAGTGGTTAAAGTGTTAAGCTTTCGTCACACCGAAGACCGGGAGACCCACTGGTAGGTAGCTTCATCAGTGACTTGTACATTACAGTGGGGGTGGTGGGGTAGTCTAGTGGTTAAAGTGTTCACCGTCGTCAATCACACGAAGACCGGGGAGACCCACTGGTAGGTAGCTTCATCAGTGACTTGTACATTACAGTGGGGGTGGTGGGGTGGTCTAGTGGTTAAAGTGTTCGCTCGTCACACCGAAGACCTGGGAGACCCACTGGTAGGTAGCTTCATCAGTGACTTCTACATTACAGTGGGGGTGGTGGGGTAGTCTAGTGGTTAAAGTGTTCGCTCGTCACACCGAAGACCCGGGAGACCCACTGGTAGGTATCATCAGTGACTTGTACATTACAGTGGGGGTGGTGGGGTAGTCTAGTGGTTAAAGTGTTCGTTCGTCACACCGAAGACCCGGGTTCAATTCCCCACATGGGTACAATGTGTGAAGCCAATTTCTGGTGTCCCCACCATGATATTGCTGGAATATTGCTAAAAGCAGTGTAAAACCAAACTCACTCACTCACTCTACATTACAATGAGGAACAGAGAAGTGTTGTGAGCTAAGGATAACTGAAACAGTGCCAGAAACATGGTAAAATCTACTCATTCACTTGCATTGCAAGGAAATAATGAAATCTCCAGCTACATGGATAAAGTTTTGTCTTTATTGGACTTGAGACAGAAAATGAGATCTCAGGTGCTAACATTGGTTTCTAGCTAACTACTTCAGGTTTATTCAACTCAAGTCATCATTTTGCCAACTGCCTTCATAGTTCAACTGAGAGCCCAGCAAGTGGAATGTTGGTCTTTTGAATACTGTCCACATGATGTTAATCTGGAGTTTGTAGAGACAATTAAGGGTGGTGGGGAAGCCTAGTGGTTAAAGCGTTCGCATTTCATGCTGAAGACCCGGGTTCGATTCCCCACATGGGTACAATGTGTGAAGCCCATTTCTGGGATCCACCACTGTGATATTGCTGGAAAATTGCTAAAAGCAGTGTAAAACAACTCACTTACTCACTCACTCAAGACAATTAACAATATTTTCAATGACAATCTCATATGTTACAGTTCTACACAGAGTGTGAATGTTTTCCATTTACTGATGGTATAGGCCCACACAGTACCAACAGCTGTGATTAAATATGAACATGTTTTTTGTTTCAGGTCAATATGTTGATGAGGCTGCAAGAAGCTGCCAGCTACTCCAGCCCCCAGAGTAACGACAGTGACTCCACCAGCCTAGACAGTCACAGCAGTATACAGGAGTTCTCCAGCTCTAGTGTCGAGTCAACGCTTTGAGTTACCTCCCTTTGACTAGAAGATCTCAAGCAAATACTGTACAGATTTGGATTTTCTTGCTTGGAAATATGATTGTGTGAGACAATGACTCAGAGTTATGTCCCCTGATGAACGTTCTATATGAACCAGAATTTGATTATCGGTGTATTTACCGGGGATTAGTTAGAGAGGTACCTGACAGCTTTGGAATTCAGGCTGGAAGTTGTGCTAAAAGGAAGCATAAGTATCCTTTATGATGCATAGCAATATACATTACCAGCCCTAGGGTTCACCTTCTGCCAAAAGGTATCACGATCATGTGCCATAAGAATGTTCATTTTAATACCCGTATCATTGAGTTCATTTTTGACAGATCTGATAAGTGAACCCTTTTAATGAACCACAAGATTCATGTAGTGAACTTTTAATAAGACGAAAAGGATTACAGCACTGTGAAATGGAGTTCCGTCACCACTGTAGATCACGTTAGAAAACCTCTTCAACACCTGTAACTATGCAAGTTGAGGCACTGATGCCGTTGTATCGATTTTATAACCATTTTAGAAGTGTAATGACAACCTTGAAGATGTGTCAGTCAGTAACAGCCCTATGACCTGCCTGTCTCCTGCTTTAACTGGATCCTTGTCATGCATAGTGTGCATTGGCTGACGAACATGGATGTCAAACTGACATCTTATGCATTTTGATTTGTGCCTTCAAGGAAGAAAGTGCTTAACATTGTGAACCGACGCTCCAAGAACTCAACAGTAACAGTGCTAGAACTTTGTGAAATTGATCTGAAAATGCTGTGACAAGACATCAAGTTTTGCTTTATGCCTGAATTATACAATATTTGTGGATTACAGTGCTATTACTGTTATGGATTGTGTCAATTTTATTTGACAGCTTGTTGATTGACTATGAGTGGTATATTGTACTATTGGAAGATTGCCAACTACATAATGGGAGGGGCTGTAATTAGATCATGTTAATTATTAAAAGACAGATGCTGATTATGAAATATACAAGAAACAGCTGATGTATTTACCTCCTCTTTATGTTTGCTCATCCTGAACTGGACACCCGCACATGCATTATGATGCATGTGTATGATGAGACTTCCAAAGTGCCAAGCTGAAAATATTGATTATACCATGTGTTGCTTTTTGTGTAAGATAAAGGTGTACATTGCTTGTCATTGATGTTTTGTAGGTATAACACAGTTGTAGCTGTCATGTTCCAAGTGTATATTTTTGTAATTTGCACATTACTTGCGTGCTGACGTTGTGTTTGCTGTGACTAGGGTGTTATTGTATGATTTGACTTCCATCGCTTGAAACTGACATATGTACATTTCAATCAATTCACACATTTGAAATAATTTTCCTCATAAGTATAAATCTTCTCTTATGTAAAAATATATTTGTATATTTGCCGGGCAATAATTTGCACCTCCAGCATACGTTTAAAAAAAATCAAAGTTTAAGTACTCTGCATGATTAAAAAATTCAAGTTGTATGTCAATTTCAAGCATGGTGTGAGAAGGCTTCATTCAGGGTTGTGAGAGAATGCTAATAGCAGTGTAAGCAGGTTGTCTGATTTACAAGGCTGTGGCTAAATTCTATAGGCATAACAGAGCTAGAGTTACCTCCCTTTGCTTAATGCATGGCGATCCTTGAATCATATTAATGTGCCAAATGTTGATTTCATGTCATTTCAAAACCATTTCATTATTTATTTTTTCATTTGTTTTGTTTTATAAAGCTTCAGGTGTAAAATCAAAAGAAAGGTCAAAGTTAAGTGAAAAATTAAGATTCAGTGATAAAATTCTAAAATCTCTTGTAATATGTTTTGTTTCATAGAACCATAACATATATATTAACATAATTGAATAAAAATCAGTGTCTCTGGCAAGTAGTTGTTATATTAAGAAAATGTATTATTTCAAACCTCGGTGGCTGTTCATACGTGTTGGTTCGTTAAATCTGACCTGTTTCTTGCGATTTTACATCTTGTTATTTTACGCCCTCTTGTATTTTAGGCTTCTGATGACAGTGAAGCTTAGCATTGTTTTCGAGCTGCTTGTTGATTGTCAGCAATCAATGTCTGTTATATTAACAGTGTGCGTCACTTTAACATCAAGTATATAGACAAGTTGCAGGTTTGACAACTAACATGTTGAATAATGCATGACTGTTACTACCATGGATGACATTAAAGGATGCAAGAAGAGTCAGCATCTTCAGTGAAAAATTGGAATAAAGGTCATGACAATTAAGGCCTTATGCTCATTATATACAAGCATTTTGTTATATACAGACATCAAGCAGAGTTTATAAAGGGGGATATAAAATAACAAGCTTTAACCAAAATTTATATCATTGACATGTTTGATGGATATAAATGATTTCAGATAGCTGATTTCCATTGAGGCACAAGCTAACCAGCTAGCTTTAACTAATCCAGCTTCATCCTTCACTTATGTGCAATGTATATTGGGAATAGATTATGAAATATTTATTATTTACGTGTATTTATTCTTATTTTGTACCCTTGTTGAAGAAGTTGTTGATCCATTGAACTAATGCTGACCTATATCGTATATGTTTCCTCTTGTGCAGTTCCTAAACAGTTGGAATTGGAATAATGTCTTAATGATGCTAGCATCATATAATTTGGGGTTTAAACATTTTTAGCATAAATGGACAGTAAAGTAGTTTGTCTTTTTTTATAGAAATGATTTCTGAATAATAGTTTGAAAATACATACTTAATTATAAGTAATGAATAAAGTATTTTAATTTTGATCAAAGTAAAAAGTAATATTAGTTTATAATGTGTTATGTTTTAAAGTGTCATCCAGACTTAACTTAGAGGACAAACTTGCTCAGATAGATTGACAGGTCATTCATTTGGAGGAAATCAAATAACACTGGACATAATCAGACCATATCCTTGAATGACATCAGCTTGTTATTATCTCTCATGCATGTCAGTGTTGTAGCCTGTCATGCAATGTCATGCTTTGCGGTGTTGTCAATAGCAACGTTATTTATAACCAATGCACAGTGTTACATGGATGGACTGTTCATCCAGCGTATATTTCTAGTCAGACCCTTGTTGTCTCTGTACAGAATTTGTAAATGATATCACATCTAAGTTATGTACTGATCATCATGGCGTCATACGATGTCATCATAATTGATGTAAATAGGATCACCATGTGTTTATGCATGTGCATCTATCGGTGGATTCTTGGATGGGCCGAGAACAACTGCTGGTAGAAAATCTCTTGAAAAATTGTCATTAGATGAGAAGTTTTCCTCTTTGAAAACTTTAGAATTGCTATGTCTAATGGTTGAATAAAGTTTTCTATTCTATACATTACTGACGTTTGTCTGGGTGATTTGTTTTCAACCCTATCAGTGATAAAAATGGCATTTGTGGTGTGTGATTTATGAACGTGTTTCATGATGGATGGAGGGTGTTAGTTTGACTGCAGGTTTGATTAGAGGATGTTATATGTGTGCCTGAGTTGTGTTGGTGCCATCTTGATGGAATGCCATGTTATGTATATAACTTAACCTCTGTGGTGGAACCAATGATTTGTTTGTTGTTTAATGCCGCCACACTGAGCAATATTCCAGTTATCTTCCAGTGAAATCAGGGCCACAGGTAGGGTGCTGATAAACCAATATATGATAGAACCATAAACCTTTGTTGTGACAACTGAAGGTCAGAAATCTGCAAATTGGGACCCTTTGGATTATCAATGTTATTGTAGCTGAGTTAGAGAATCTGCAGTATTACAGTTTTATCACAACAGCTAACAATACATCACTTCTGGTGCAGCAAGCGTTCCTCCATGCTGTCTGTATGGGTCAGTCAAGGAAATGACACATTGCTACTTCAAGTATGTGTCTAGGATGAGTGACTCACAATGAACGATTGTGAAGGATCAAGTTCAAACAATCTTCAGAGTGTAAGATCAGTTGTGTGTCAACACTGTATCAGTAACACATAATGAACAGGATCTATAACACAAAAACATTGTTTAGGATCAATGACACAATCAACACTGTATCAGTGACACATAATGAACAGGATCTATAACACAAAAACATTGTTTAGGATCAATGACACAATCAACACTGTATCAATGACACATAATGAACAGGATCTATAACACAAAAACATTGTTTAGGATCAATGACACAATCAACACTGTGTCAGTGACACATTAAAATGTCTAGGAACAATGACAGGATGAATACTGTCTAGAATCAATGACACAATCAACATTGTTTAGGAACAATGCCACGATGAATACTGTTGAAGGTCAATGACACACAGCCAACACTCTCTATATGGATGCCACAATAACTATTTTTCTTGGATGAATAACACAATGGATACTGCCTTCGCTCAATGACACACTAAATATTGTCTTGGGTCAATGACAAACTAAATATTGTCTTGGGTCAATGACACACTAAATATTGTCTGGGGTTAATGACACACTAAATATTGTCTGGGATCAATGACACACTAAATATTGTCTGGGGTCAATGACACACTAAATATTGTCTGGGGTCAATGACACACTAAATATTGTCTGGGGTCAATGACACACTAAAAAATGTCTGGGATCAATGACACACTAAATATCTTCTGGGGTCAATGACACACTAAATATTGTCTGGGATCAATGACACACTAAATATTGTCTGGGGTCAATGACACACTAAATATTGTCTGGGGTCAATGACACACTAAATATTGTCTGGGATCAATGACACACTAAATATTGTCTTGGGTCAGTGACACACTAAATATTGTCTGGGGTCAATGACACAAAGAATTCCAGAGTCTGGTACAGTATGTCCTAATGAAATGACCAACACTGTCTGTGGCATCATTGCATAATACAAATAGGGTCAGATGAATCAGAGGTTCGTTATAAGGGTTTGAACTGTCACTATATCTTTGGTTTACTACATTTACGTAGCACAATGGGCTGAATAATTGAACGGACAAAATATTCACATTGATCCTTTCTTAAACACGTGCTTGTGTGTTGTTCTTCCATTCATTCAGGTCAGTTAGTGGAAATATTTAGCACAATTAGTATACAAGGAAATATGTTACACATTTTCTTGAATTTTATTTGATGTAACTTACCTCCTTATGTCCAGTCCTCATTTCGATATCAAGAAATAGAATCTGAATCTTTTACGTACGCATCATCTGATTATATTTATATTCCTGGGCCCGACAACCCGAGTGTGATATGTGAATATTTTGTGACGTCCTGTCGTAATAACCAGAAGTAATATCGCTGGAATATTTCTAAACACATCTATACCAGGAAACTATACTGGTGTTTTCTCTCTGTCCGTCCTGTTATTGATGGAGTCCCTGAAATCCAGGGTTTGGAAACAATACTGGTCTTAGGAGGGGCCCGACAGGATCCGTAGACCGTCTCGCGATTGGGCAGATCGATGCTCATGATGTCGGCCTCTGGGTTGTGATTTCGAAACGCGTCAGTTATAGACAGCTCAATAAGCTGAAATACTGTTGAGCGCGACGTTAAATAACAAACAAACAAAATTGTTATCACTGTTGTCATATTTATAAGGCGTAAATGGAGTAGACCACACATAAACGAGTGATGATTGGTCCCGTTTGCAATAAAATCGCCGCTGTGCACCTTGTGAGATCTGTTTCCCCACCGACTGCAACTACCCGTGTATTGAGCGACCACACGTCCTGCGTGATAAACGTGTAAAGGGTTCGGTTCCAGATTGAGATTAGAAATAGTATTTTGCTTTTTCTGGCTACTGTTCTAGCTTTGGGACCATACTAGGACAATTTTTAGATAGTGAGTTTATTATCTAAATCTGTTTCAATCCCTCGAACTCTAATGTAGTTTTATTCTTTTGTTGACTTGAGTTCCGTCTTTTACTAAGCTCTGAACCTGAATCTGCTGCCACTGGAAACAGGCGGTGGGGTAGCCTAGTGGTTAAAGCGTTCGCTCGTCACGCCGAAGACCCGGGTTCGATTCGCCACACATGAGTACAATGTGTGAACCCCATTTCTTGTGTCCCCCGCCGTGATATTGCTAACAGCGGCGTAAAACTATACTCACTCTCTCAGCACTGGACACGCAATTTAATGTACTGCAGGGATCTGGCCCCTGACCGATCAGCTGCCTAGCCTTCTACCTTTATCTGTTCTAAATTCCTAAATTTTGTCAAATCCTGGTTTTCCCGATTATGTGATTAGTTTTTTCAGCGGCATACCCGTTCTCCTGGATTTCACCAGAGTGGCAACGTTTTCAGCAACGTCTGAGGCCTGCATCAATTGGGTTTTCTATCCTTGATAACTGGAATACTGTCGAAGCGGCGTTAAACCACTCACTCGTCGCCTTGTCATTGAAAGTTCACGTATACCTAACGCTAGGAAATTTTAGACTAACGCTTAGTGTCTGACTACATATAATTTTGAGAGCAACGAATATTCCCATTTAAATTGAATAGGAGCTCCAGAAAGATGGGAAATTCAGAACCTGGGAAAATCTAGACTTGCTTCATTTAGGGCTTTAGCATTGCAGGGGAGGGCTGCAATAGTGTGGAAAAATAATGTGGAAAATAATGTGGTTCAGGGACTGTGAGACAGACTAGGCAAATGGTTTAAGGTTCAATCTTGCAAATACAGATCGTTATACACTTTTACTCAACTCACAATAGAATATATTATACTGCAAATGACAATTTCGTTCCAGGCAGTAACTGACGGACGGGGAATTGTCAAAGGCGATCGTTGTAGTGAAAATTATAATAAATAATCTCTGGTAAACTGCTCTTTGCATGATGTTGGGACCCAAAACTGCAGCTAAAGGAAATGTATCATCACATATAAACACAACACTTCTGAGATTTGGTATTATGTTATTATGCCCGGGACATTTAATGAAATAGTGTTACATATTTTCAAGCCTCAAACTTTCAATGGCCACACTTGAAGAGACCGCCTTATCTATAACACTCCTGTCCAGATTGGAGTCGAGTCAGAATGACCTCATCACGCCTTTGATGAAGATGGTCGAAGTTTGTACATAGCTGTAGGCCATACAGCATCCCGCAATTATTGCCAACTCATTATAGATTTCCATCAAATAGTTTCAAAATCTGTATTGGTCGAAAATTTAATTAAACAACGTTAAGATTTTGTAATGCAGATTTGTCCAGATGATCTTCGATCTCATCCCCATGCATTCCAACATGTGCTGGAACCCAAACAGTATTGCATGTATCGTAATTCCTGTTTGCAATTTATATATCTTATGCACAATGTCATCTGTGGATGTAAACATATGGAAAAAAGTATCGCAACACCTCATATTTCATAGTATCAATATATTACTATAGCAATGGAACTTATCCAAATCCCAATTTAACATATCTCAATACCTTGACCACCCAATGAAGCATTAAATCGCAAATCTAAACGCTACATGAACACAAAATTAGTTTATTCAGAGAATTAAACATGGCACAAATTGACTCATATTGTAGAGCTGATAAATATGGTCGTATGACGTTAGCAACTGTGGTATTTTTCAGGATCCTGGCATACAACCCTTTAGAAATCACTTAAGTATCAATGACCGAACACAATGTCAATATCTGGTGTAACCTACGCCAACTGCGATAGTATCCCTGACCCTCCTCCTCATTGACTGTATCAGGCGTTGAATTTGTCGTTGAGGTATAGCGTTACATTCTTGATGGAGGCTACCAAAGGTAGAGGTGGAGGTACCAAAACATCAATAGTACATACGTGAGGATCTCTTAGGCGTATTGTTGCGACGCATACTATCCCACACATGCTCTGTGGAATTGCGATCTGGTGCTCCTTTCACGGAGCAACCTTTACTAAGGTTAACCTTAACTCCCATTCTTTAACACTGCACTAAGGTTACCTCAGTGACTTACGATCACCTTAGTGCTTTGTGCAAGGAGGCCCAGGACTTCTAGCGGGCCAAGGTAGCTACCACCTCTTGACGTATGAAGTTACCAACGGCACGTGTACGATGTGGTCTTGCATTGTCGCCCATGAAGTCTGGCCTTGCAATCAGAAGATGGTCTTAGACATGCTGTTGCAATACTTATTTCCATGTGTATATTTGCACCAGTTTCTATAACTTTAATTGCTGCCATGGAATCTGTAGAAATAACTGCTTCATGGTCATGTTCATCTACCCATTTACAGTGAATTTAGACCCATACCTTGGAAAGATGCCAGCGGATCAAAGTGGCATGTTTGCTGTCGTATTTGATGTATATTCGTTATTTCCTCCCTATCAGGATGTGAAAAACATGAAC